AGCTCCGATCACAGCGTCCTCCATCCTCCTGTTGTTAACGTTGTTTTTCTTTGTTTTCATTGTTGGAACGTCGCTGTCGACCGGTTCCTAGTACACACTGTCGGTGCGAATGAAACCCTTTAAATGGTACTGGGAAATAGTTCGCGCAAAATCGTCCCAGTACTTTAGTACTGTCCATTTAGTTCTGGAACTAAAGCGGTGCGAAAGGCCCTATACATAACCGAGATAATTTCCTACACTATGCTACAAAAAATGCTAACCCCTAAACCTATCCCACACCTAACCCTAACCTTAACCAGTGAAAGTGACTGCACGGCGGGATTGGCGCTGAATAGCATGGTAAAGAAAGTTGCAGTTCAGGAGATAAACAGTTAATAAGATTATGCGATATGAGACTGTTCCGTAACTCCCCAAGTTCAGACCTCATCGGACAACCTTTTTAGTTACACTACCCCCTCCTACCCTGTGAATTTCGTGGCCCGGGATGCCCCCGTTTCTTGGAACAAAGCGATAGAGCAAAATCTTTTCCCTGCGCTGCGCTGACGGCTCGTGGGTGATTCCCATTTATATCATGAAGCAGAGGTTTAAACTCCAGTCCGAACACCACTGGCCACAAGCTTTGGGCTCTGCTCTCATGGAGAATATTTATTTATATAGCATATTTTATTTTAGATCAACTAGAAACAATGTTTAATTTATAAAGTTTTATTTTGAAATGTAAGTCAATAACAATTGGCCGAAGCCAGAGCCAATGGTAAAAGTCTTTGCGCGAAGAGACCCCGCCCCATTTTGGAGGTTCTGCCCACTTTTGGAGTTCAGGCCCCATTTCTCCATTTCTCCATTTCACAGGCTTTTGGCTGCTATTTTTTTATTAACCACCAGATGGCGCTGTTTTCGAGACACTCGAAGCTTTGAATCTTTTCCCGAAACAGTCAGAGGACAGCCTCAGTGCTTCACGAGGCTTCATTTGCCCATCACTACAGCAAATGTATGGCCGTTTCTCAATACTAAGTACGCAAAGTTCAGACTTGCGTTCTCGGTAGTTCAGGCTTCGCAAGTTCGACTCGGAAGTGCGAACTCCCGAGGACGGGAGGACGCAAGTCCGGTAATTCTGCAAATGGAACAGCAGCGTACTTAATAACGTCAGTCAGCTCGCCTTGACTACTCCGGTTATCCTAACTGTATGTATACAATACGACAAAATATGATATCAAACACCACTTCCTCTTTTTGTTTTCTTTTAAACATATTAATAGCCGCAAAAATGTAGTTCAGGGAACGTAGGCTACAGACATTACAGTGAAACGAAATATATAAAACAGCATTTTGCCTCTTTTCTGTTTCATTTAAAATATTAATAGCCACAAAAACGTACACGCATTACAATAAAACGAAATGATATCAAAAACCACTACCTTTTCGTTTTCTTCTAAATATAAGACACAACCCTTTTCGTTTTCATTTAAAAAATATATAACATATTAATATGTGGTTTAGGTATGTGCAAATATCTTTGCACATACCTAAACCTAAGATTATCTTCACTGAATGTATAATAAAATTAAATATGACAAGCACAACTCTGCCTTTTTTGTTAATGTCAGTTTTAATGAACAATAATAGCCATTATAAAAGTATAACTATAATGTAATAGGAAGCTGAATTCAGCCTCGTTCAAATATGCAACAAAGTCAGCGCTGTATTACGATAAATAAATAAATAATTAATTTATGAAACATAACTTTGTGCTCAGCCAAAACGATATGACCTGGAAAAAAATCATAGAGTCATGAGACCAAAGATTTGAACCCCAAAATGAATTATATCTCATGTTTAACCACTACATCAAAGCCAGCGGCAAATGTCAGAGGGACTAGCCGAGGTGAGGCTGCTCTCGGCGGATACATGAGCACTGAGCGCCCGCTGATCGCGTGGAGCTCACGTCTCCAAACTCGGCGAAGCCAATTTTCAAATAGGCGCTATCTTTATAAATAAACCGCATATTTGAGCTTTAAACAACTACATTCTCGCCTGAAATTCATAGAGTCATGAGACCAAAGATTTACCCAAAATGAATTATATCTCATGTTTAACCACTACATCAAAGCCAGCGGCAAATGTCAGAGGGACTAGCCGAGGTGAGGCTGCTCTCGGCGGATACATGAGCACTGAGCGCCCGCTGATCGCGTGGAGCTCACGTCTCCAAACTCGGCGAAGCCAATTTTCAAATAGGCGCTATCTTTATAAATAAACCGCATATTTGAGCTTTAAACAACTACATTCTCGCCTGAAATACTCTTAGAACAGCATTTCATGTTTAAGGGTTAAGTGTTGCCACGTCCGCGGTATTCCCGCTGAGTTGGGTTTCTTTAACACTTTTTCCGCAGGTTATTTTTCATGTCCGCAGGTTGAAGCGACTCCAATAACATGATATTTATCCCATGGAATGCGAATTTTAGCAGGGGAACTCCGCCAAAAAAATTTTTTTTTAAACTGGGGACCCCCTCGAAATGAGATTGGGCTGGGATTTCTTGTGAAAACCTGGCAACCCTGGTTTCAGAAAGTCGGAAAGTCCCCTAACTTCCATATAATCACTATAGTAAATAGGTTTTGAATTTGTCTGCTTACCACTGACTACTAGACCAACACATTGCCGTTTGCTGCCGATTCTTCTGTCATCGTCTTTGTCGGTAAGTAAAAGCACGAAAAATGATTCAGTAATTAGCTATTCTGTTGCGCTGCTGGGTCAGGTTTGGTGACGTTTAGCACTCTTAGGCAAAGCAAGTTATACATGTGTATGTAGGTGTGTGTGTATATATATATATATATATATATATATATATATATATATATATATATATATATATATACACACACACACCTACATACACATGTATAACTTGCTTTGCCTAAGAGTGCTAAACGTCACCAAACCTGACCCAGCAGCGCAACAGAATAGCTAATTACTGAATCATTTTTCGTGCTTGGGATTTCTTGTGAAAACCTGGCAACCCTGGTTTCAGAAAGTCGGAAAGTCCCCTAACTTCCATATAATCACTATAGTAAATAGGTTTTGAATTTGTCTGCTTACCACTGACTACTAGACCAACACATTGCCGTTTGCTGCCGATTCTTCTGTCATCGTCTTTGTCGGTAAGTAAAAGCACGAAAAATGATTCAGTAATTAGCTATTCTGTTGCGCTGCTGGGTCAGGTTTGGTGACGTTTAGCACTCTTAGGCAAAGCAAGTTATACATGTGTATGTAGGTGTGTGTGTGTATATATATATATATATATATATATATATATCACTGGGGAAGTACCCTCAAAAGGACACCTTTGTACCTTATTTATCCCTAAAGGGTTCAGAATAGTACCATAAGAGTACATATTACTACTCTAAGGTACTAATATGCACCCTTTAAGGGTAAAGAAGTTACAAAAGTGTCCCTTTGAAAGTTCTGCCCCAGTGACAAGCAGTTGTACCCATAAAGGTAAAATTTTTTGCACACATTTTAGTGGCCATCAACTCACTAAACAGCTAAACAATTTAAACAGCCCTGAATTAGTACTTAAATGTAAATATATATATATATATACACACACACACACACATGTATATACACACACACACTCCCTGGCCACTTTATTAGGTACACTTTGCTAGTACCGGGTTGGACGCCCTTTTGCCTTCAGAACGGCCTTAATTATTCGTGGCATAGATTCAACAAGGTGTTGGAAACATTCCTCAGAGATTTTGGTCCATATTTACATTTACTTCAGGGTTCAACGTGTTGTGTGTTCAGAGATGGTATTCTGCATACCTTGGCTGTAACGAGTGGTTATTTGAGTTACTGTTGCCTTTCTATCGTCTCTAACCAGTCTGCCCATTCTCCTCTGACATCAACAAGGCATTTTCGTCCACACAACTGCCGCTCACTGGATATTTTCTCTTTTTCTGACCATTCTCTGTAAACCCTAGAGATGGTTGTGCATGAAAATCCCAGTAGATCCGCAGTTTTAGAAATACTCAGACCAGCCCATTTGGCACCAACAACCATTCCACGTTCAAAGTCACTTAAATCCCCTTTCTTCCCCATTCTGATGCTCGGTTTGAACTTCAGCAAGTCGTCTTCACCACCAGTGTTGCCAACTCATTTTCAGGGGAAGTTGCTAAAGGAAGGTCAATTTGTTGCTAAATGATGTTGTGATGTCATTACACGATGACATCATTACGTAATTATGACGCAAAATTGTCACTACATCAAATCTCAGCAAAAAAATATTTTATATATGTTCATTTAGATTTGTTTGTAAAGTAATATAACGTAATATAATATTAAAATATAAATAACTGTATTTTTAAATACAACATTGAATTATTGAACAATTAGGGCTTACAATTTAAGTTTTTTTATTAGCTAGTAAACTAGGGCACAATCTACTATGTTAATATGAAGGAATTTTCCTTATTGATTTTTCACAGGGTTTTTTTTACCTGCATTTTAAATTACACATTGTATTTTGTGTTTTCGGGTTACAATGGATAATGAATAATGGAGAATGGATAATGTCCTGGAAAATTACTAGTACCTTTTCCATTTTTCTAGATATTTTTCTTACAGTGTACTAACTGATCAACAATCGCTGGTACAAGCTACTAACGAGGTGTATCATACATTAACAATTATTCAGTTATTAATATTAAATTGAGCAATTGCTAATAGCAGCTAACTTAATTCATGTGATGTGTGTACTGCTAGGCATCTTTGGTTTACTCATTTTGTGAAATTTAGATGGAAAACTTGTGCCTTTTTATCGTTTGAGTCACTTATCAAAAGTTGCTAAAAGCAGCCACATAAAATTTAAAAATAGCTAAATTTGTTGCTAGGTGCTTTTGGAAGAAAAAGTTGCTAGTGTAGTGTGAAAAGTTGCTAAATTTAGCAACAAAATTGTTGCTGCCATGTGATTGGCTGATTAGCAATTTGTGTTACCAAGCAATTGAACAGGTGTACCTAATAAATTGGCCGGTGAGTGTGTGTGTGTGTATATATATATTTTTTTTTTAAATATTTTTTTTTATTCATGTTAAAAACCCTGTTTTATATCTTTCAAGAATCTATACGATTTTCTATGAAGCAAAAAGCACTTAAAACTCCGAAAATGTGTAAACTTGTCAATACCCCCTTTTCAATACATATACATATCTAGGGATACGCGCTCCGAACCACTGTTTCAAAACAAATGATTCGCAAAGGTTGTGAAACTTTGTGAAGCAGTGCTTCAAAAGCGCCCATCACTACTTTGATGCATTTTACGGTTTTGCGCAGATTTTGTTCATCTACTGACAACGCAACTGTCTCAAAAATCGTCTCTCCGTCCCTCACAGTCACACATGCAACATATTCCCTAACATTATTTGTGTGTGTCTGTGTGTATACTCAGACACACACACACAGAGAAAATGAGGGGAAAATAAGGTGTATTTGTGTATATTTATATAAAATCATGACATATGTTAACACTTTGTTAAATTGGTCGCGGTTCTTGTGACGTCATTTCCGCTAAGCACCAGCCGCACAGAACCGAAGAAAGGTCGTTTCGTGCTGTTGAACAAAATCCGCTTTTGTCCAACGGTGAGTTGGTGTTTTTGTAAACCTTCGTTGGACGAGATCAACATTTGATTACCTTTGTAGTGTTGTAGTTCTTGTTTTTGTCCTTTAAAAAGAATAACAGTTTGTTTGGTATTAACGTTTCACCCAAAATGGCAGCGCCTCGAAAGCGACGCCTGTCTGCTGTCTGCTGTCTGCTGTGGCAGCGATACAACGGATTTCACCCGAGTTTCCCCACTTAGGAATGAATGCGGTCTATGTAGGTGGAATGACTCGTATCAAGTTATTTTCTGTTCGTTTTAATTCGAATTCGTCGAAGACCACAAATATCATAAACGAGGGGAAACTCGCGGCGATCGTCTGAATCATCATCCTGTGGAAACGCATCACTTTTTTTTAACCAGTACCACCTACAAGACATGTTTTTTCCCAGTAGTGTTAAGCAAAAACCTTCTTGATATAGCTCAGTGATTAAAAAGTTATTTGAGTTCAGAGAATGAAACTATGTAACTTAGAGGGACCTCCCATTTTCTACTTGTAATATGATGATTGGTTGTAGGAATGAGGAACTGACAAAGCAGGAAATTCGCCACCTCATTTTCCCGTTAGAGTGGGCGCGGACTTTTGTAAATGTGAGAATTCCGGTGTTGTGCCGAAATCGGTGACCTATCGAAAACTGACCAGGGGACGCTGTTCAGTAAATGTTCTCGTGGGAGCCCACATGCATTAGACGATCAGCGTCAGAGGAGACGAGCGGTGCTGGAAAACATCTTTCATGTCTTAAGACTAAAGAAGATATTGTCACCAGCACCTAAATTCTTATATAGAAAAGAATTTAAACATTAATGCTACTGTTGTCTGCTAATGTGTTAGCCTACTACTATGACTACGATGTTTTAGCGCTTGTTATGTAAAACATATTACGATTATCTGATAAATATTGGTCTTATCTTTATTCTTATTACTATTTACTGTAATTACCCAATAATGTTGGAGAGCTACAGTTTGTTCCTTACAAAAGCATATGATTGCAGTTGGCTAGGGTCACTGAATCTGACAAGTAAAAATTTATATAACGTTAGCTATCAAAATGTTACCACTCTTTCTTTCATAATAACTGACTAAAATGTTTAATAGAGTGACTCGTGATGTGTGAGCTCCTCTTCTTTCTATTTTACATAAAGCATGTTGATTAGATATTGATATATAGATACAGTAGGATCTGACAGGTTAAATTTAAAGCTACTGAAATGTTACCCCTCTTTATTTAATGCATGTGACTATAATGCTTAATAAAGTAACTTATGTGATGTCAGCTCCTCTTATTTTTCCTCATTTAAACAAAAGTTGTTTGATATATATAGGCGACCTACAGTTAATTGGTTTAATCATTTATAAAAAGCAGTAAGAACTAGGCTATATTTGTTTTTATAGCTTTGTTATTTCAGTCTGCACTTCATAAAAAAAATGTAATATGTGAAGGTATTATGTGGCATCAAGAGAAGCAGAACTGAAATTAAAACATTTATATGCATGTTTTGTAGCTTACAGCTTTTTCAAAATAAGTTAAGCAATTCTTAATTAAAAAAAAAAAAAGTTAGGTTCAACTCGTGTTAACTCATTTAAGTTACCTATACAGCTAAGCTGACTGTACAGTGGTGAAAGTTTCAGCAGTGTTAGTGGTGCAATAACAAACCTTCTGAATGATAACCTAAAACAAAAGCATCACAAAAATGAGCTTAGTGAGGTTTTCTTTTTTTTCTGGTTATGATTTCTGTAATGTCTAATAATTGGTGACTGTTACTCAAAAGAAAACCAGAATAAACCTAGAGGAAAATGGAGAAATCTTTACATCACTTGAATGGGTTTGAAGAACATAGACTTATAAACTTAGAGTAAAAAGGGGTAACATTTTGGTATAGCCTATAATTTTGATCTGTCACACCATACTGTGTCTATAGGACCATGTCAGCTGATCAATATGCTTTACAAAATAGAAGAGGAGCTCAACATCACACTTTATTAAACAAGTCACTTTATGAAACATTTATAGTCAGTTATTATGAAAGAGTGGTAACATTTTGATAGCTAACGTTATATAAATTTTTACTTGTCAGATTCAGTGACCCTAGCCAACTGCAATCATGCATTTGTAAGGAACAAACTAGATCTCCAACATTATTGGGTAATTGCAGTAAATAGTAATAAGAATAAAGATAAGACCTATATTTATCAGATAATCGAAATATGTTTAACATAAGCGCTAAAACATCTCATAAGGAAACCATTCTTAGTTGTAGGCTAACACATTAGCAGACAACAGTAGCATTAATGTTTAAATTCTTTTCTATATTAGGTGCTGGTAACAATATCTAGTTTTTCTTCTTTGAAAACTGACGCTGATCATTCGGCTGATCGTCTAATGCATGTGGGCTCCCACGAGAACATTTGCTGAACAGCGTCCCCTGGTCACAGTTTTCGATAGGTCACCGATTTCGGCACAACACCGGTGTCATCCGTTTCCAGTTTTTTTTTTTTTACTGTACAAAACAGCTCGTTTTACTGCTTGATATTGCACACTGGTGTTTCTTACCATATTATTTTAATGTATTGTCTTAGTTATAAAGACACCGAGTTGTAGCTCAAACAATTTTACAGTTTATTGCACTTTGTTATTCTTCTTGTTATTTCCCTACATTTTTACATTTACGTTAAGCTTCCATTTCCGAGCTATAAATAAGATTATTATTCATGTACAATGTCATATTTGTGTCAAAATTAATCAAAAACATTAATGCCCCCCCCCCCCCCCCCCCCCCCACACCCCCCACTTTCCTCAAG